TAAGTAGTAAAGTAAAGTAAAAATATCAGAAAAATCTACTTGAGTACAGTAACGAAGTATTTGTACTTCGTTACTTCCCATCTCTGGTGACCAGTGAATCTATGGAGAACACAGGACATTCCCAAGTACCTGGGGTCAATTGTGGAGAATTCACTCAACTTTGTCCAGCAAACAGCAGCCCCTTCATGGAGCAGTTTGTCAGAAATGTCTGCTAACTCCTTAAAAGCATTGTATCTTTTTAGCATTGGGGAAAATTTTATTATTTTTGTTTCTATATTGTTTGAGTCTGTTCTAACATTTGGTTTTAATGGCAAATTATCCTTGAAACATAACTATTATTTTATTCTTCTTAAAACTACTAGCGAAAATAATAAGAATTTAACAGCGGTCTCCTCTCTGATCTCTAGAACTGACAGCTTGTAAAAAAGTCAAAAGCATCCTAGTCATCAGATACCATCCACTTTAGAGTCATTTGTTCTCCTTCCCTCAGGCCAAAGGTACAGGTTGCCGAATGACGAATGACAATATTCCTTTTTGCAGGTAAAGCTTTCAATGAACTGTGACCAAGCTTGAGATGTTTTTTGATTTTTTAGAGATTTTTTTTGGTAGTGTGTTTGTTTAAATCCTTTTAGATGTGTTTCATCATTTTTAAGAGTCTAAGAGGTTTTACTTGTGAGGATTACGGTTTGATTTACGTCTGTTGCTCTGCATCAAAGTTCCCTTTGGTGAGTGATAAACAACTGACTAACTTATATCTCCTTTTTGTAAATCTTTCTATTATATAGCTGTGTGCTCTTGCTCACTTTGATGCCAAAAAATATCTTTCTTAACTTCTAGTTAAAGGGTCTCAGTCTAAACTGGCTGTAATTGGGACAATTTTGCAATTCCCTCCTCCTTGAGTAGTGACCAGAATAGGATGTTTTTAATCCAATGTTTCCCAATCATCTTTCTTATGTATATCTGAGATCAGATCATTGTTCATGTCCCCCATCTACACTTAAACTCACTGTGCAGGATCCCTCAGAAGGGAGACTGCATCCCCAATAAACGCCAAAGATAGATAAAGAGACAATCAAATCCACTAGCAGTGGATTGGGATGACAGCTCTGAACAAGGTTCCTGAATCACCCTACAGAGGAATCTCCTTTCAGCTGTTTGAATCTCATTCTTACAAAATATTAAATATTTTGTAATAATATAATGATAAATAATAATATGAGTATTTAAATATTAATTCTCAAAACCATTTCCATGGCTTTGGTTCATTTTGGAGCTCATCATGCTTCTCCGAAGATATTTTAGATAATAGCCTTAAAATGTCTGTCAATGAGGCATTGAAAAAGACTGAAAAAAAATGTATCAATTTTAAATAAAAATTCTACTTTAGCATGAAAAGAATACTATAATATATAATATGATATGATATAATAATATAAAGAATGACTTACACCTTGAAGAGATAGGCATTAATGTATTTATGGTAGAGGTCTCCCAATAAAAGTTTTTAATCTCCAATACAATATGAGGCTTAAATGATGCATATATTGAGCCAATGCAATAATAACAAAAACCCTACATACTGCTATTGCTTATTTTGCACTGTGGAATGCTCAAAGGGTTTATAAAAGATATATTACTTAAACAGAGACAAAGAGTCATGAGCAACAATAGGTATGACACACCTCTCCTGTTAATTATTATTAACCAGGGTTACGCTAACTTTCAAATAAAAAAAGGAAATATTTTACAATTGGATAAAATAATTATTGTAAGAGAGGTAACTTGTACATGGAATATTTTACACTCATCTGCAGTGTCTTTTTGTTGACTTTATCGAAAAGTACAGCAACACTGCAACTCCTACAGTAGTCCAATAACATTTGTTTGCAGACGCTGTTGTTAAAATCACACTGACTCTGTGTGCTAGAACCAAGCGCTGGTGGATTGAAATGCTTGGAGGGGGCTAAATGCTGGAGAGTACATTGCTTTTATCAGCATCCCTATTGGGGAAATTTTAGATGCAGACCAATATGATCCAATACATGTTTTGTTTTTTTTTGGCCTGACATTACTAATCATCACTACTTTTTATAGATCCAAAGTCTGCAATAAATACAAGTGCTTCAATCAATTATTAGAAACTATAAAAGCAGCATTGATTTTTGTCTAATTTCATCCTTATGAACCACTGTAGCTGCGTTTGATTTTTGTGTCTCCATCCTTCCTTTAACCTTCAGTTTACTGTAATTCTAGGAACTCTAGAGGCATGTTTATGGGTTTCGAGATGGTTTTTGTGGTCATTCTTGTAACAGCACAATAGAGCTTAGTGAATGAGCTGATCCCCACAGATAATGACTAAGGTGTGGTACTTTAGTAAGTGAGACAAGTTCCCCTGAATCAAGGGTCAGGAACATAAGCTTGAGGAGTTGGTCCCAATAGGTCAGTTCTGAGAAAAACCTTGTGTTGAGATGTTGATAGCTTAATGGTTTTTAATGACTTTAAACATATCTGAAAGTGAAAAGTAAAATGACTTTCATTCAACAGAAACTAGTCCTATTTATGAATTAATGTTGGCTGCATGCTGAGACGTAAAAGATCTTCTATGGTAGGGTAATAAAGGGCTTTTACCACCAGCTCTCTGACAGTGCATTGGAAATAAAAGGAAGTCAACATGAAAGTAGATATGTGCAACACTGTAAGCCCTGTTAGTAACCTAAGCTGCCCTGCATAAAGCATAAAGAATTAGGACAAGTGATGCGAACATATTGATATTCCCTTGTATTGTTCTGAGAGGACACTGTTACATGCAGCGGGTTGGGAGCATTTTATGATGCAACTTTCAGAGCATTTCTTAGCTAATCTTCATCTTTTGTTTAGGCAGTGTGTTGCTTGTACCTAGCAACAACCAACAAAATATGTTGCTAATGCCATAAATAAAAACCTAGCTCTGGCTTGTCGACATTTGAAGCAGCATTGACTTAAATAAACCATTTCCACTGATCAGGTTTACTGTTACAATTATTATTTATTCTATGATGCACCTATTGGATAGTCGCATATGTTAGGCTGCAAATTAGCATTTTGTTGCTTCACTATTGTCGCAACACTATTGTCTGATAAAAAGCTGTCAGGATATGCAGTACATCGCAGTTGATGAAAAAACAAAAACATCTGAAGCAAGGAAAGATCTGGTCTGATGAAACAAATTTTTGTTACATAACAGGAATTGGTGGTCATGCCGCTTACATGGGGCAGACAAGGGTCCAGGATGGGCTGTGGAAAAATGGGAAGTCAGTAGAGCCATAATATAAAGACATGGTATGATAGATAAAGGAATATTGTGCTAGGCAATCCTGGGTCTTACATCCAAACTTGGGCCTAAGATTCAATGTTACTTTGAAACATACCATCAATATACAATGACTTATTGTTGTCCTTGCTGGAAATATAAACCCCCAATATCTAAAAAAAATTTTGAAACTGTCCATGCTTTATTTAATTGTGTACTTGTTACCCATTCTAACTGAAGAGGATAATAATTACCAGAGTCACTTTATTTGTATTATGTCCAGTAAATATCTGGATGTGCAGCGCTGTTTGTTAAAATGTGCTGAAGTTACAAAGCATGTCAAAGCTGTCCTCGCAGACCTGAACCAGCCTCTTTTCTTTATTGACAGGTTGCTACCATTGGCTCACAGATACAAAAAAACAAACACGTTAATTTGTCCCTGTAAGTTACTTTTGGCCTCTTTACAGATTTTTAGTAGCACATGTTTGTATCATATTTGCATCATAAGTGTTGTGGTTATTTCTGTCTCTCTCTCAGTGGTATTTGCCCAGTTCTTTACTGTCTACAAAATAATACAGATGCCAAAATAAAATAAAGGTAGCCTTGATCTTAATTTGGGTGTAGATTTACTTTAAAATTGGAAAGTTGGGATATGTAATGTTTCCAGAGGTGTCAAGTAACAAAGTACAAATACTTTGTTACTGAACTTAAGTAAATATTGTTGATATCTATACTTTACTTCATTACTTATTTTTCTTCCTACTTCTGACTGGTTGTGTGACATTATATTGTCACACAAGTATCTGTATTTTCTATTTCTTACATTTTTAAAACAAACGTTAGTCGTTACTCTTGGCTTCGGTTTAATGTTTATAAATATTTATTTCCCGTCATGTGCTCCATCCAATGCAGATCATTGGCGCCATCCACATCTAGTGAAAACTAATGTCATTGGATAAGTCATATAACGCAAACATACATTGGTTACCTAAAGGAAATCATCAGAAGCAAGCAGGTGTTCTTCAAACTGCAAACGTGAATTTTCTCTGCCATGCAACAATGTTGGATTCAGAAAAAGATGTCGAAGTGTCTGAAAGGTCGGACACAGGCGAGAGCGTATCGGGAGACGGAGACCAACAAGACCTCCCTGATCCTTGGCCCTATCTCAAAGAATTTTTCAAAATAGTCAAAAAATTGAGCTTTCAAGTCATATAGTGGCATCTGGCTGTTTTTTTTAAAGGTTACTTTATACTTTTATATTTTAAGTAGTTTTTGGAGCACAATCTTTTTCACTTTTACTTGAATAAAGAGGTCAAGTTTATACTTCAACTTGTTTTTAAACTGCAGTATCTATACTTCTACTTAAGTAACAAATGTGTGTACTTTGGACACCACTGAATGTTTCTAATTTCCCCTGGTTTCTTACATATTACATGAACTGCTTCATATTTTAATTATCCACCTGTATCAAATAAATACAACTTCTATGGTCTACTTTTTTTCTACATAATATTACTTTGTTCCCTCAAGAGAGTCACGGTATCTCCTGCATTAAACCAACCCCATTTAAAGTGCATTGCTGGGAAATAGGGAGGTGTTCTTTTCAGGAATTTTGGCTCTTAACCTCAGAAACTCTGGCTTCACAGATAAGATTGTGTTCGCTGAGCCGATACTAAATAATAACTCATGTTTACAACATTTTTTTTTTTATTTTATTTTACTTTTAAATAGTGATGTAGTAATTTGTTTAGATGCTTTTGGTTAATCTCATTCTAAATGTATTTTTGGGTTTTATTTGCTATATTGTGAATGGATTTCATTTTATTTAAATGCATTTAGTTTAATCAAAAACATAATTTACAAGAGAGACCACAGAACACTTATTTGATGCTGAGAAAATATTTATTGACAAAAAAATGCATCAGTGGAACACATGAAACACATTTTAACGCTGTCAGAACAATCCTAATAGTAAGAAACAGACCAATGGAAAATAAGAGATATGCACAGATCTGCTGGTTCATAATAAGGTGGCTCACTGCTTCAGCAGCTAAATAAAGTCCTGTCTGATTAAAAATATTTTTATTAAAATGTTCATTAATTACAATATTGAAAAGGGAACATGATTGCTTTTTTGTAAATTTTCTTTTGTTATTGTTATAAAGCCCTCATATCGGTGACATCATGCATTACTAAGGCATGATGTCACCGATAAAGGGCAACTAATGATTAGGTGGTCATATTAGACACAACTTTAATTTAACTGAAGAGTATATGTTGAATCTCAGTGAACACTTTCAAAAAAGCTTATTCTCATCTTTTCTAATTTTGTAATGCAATTACAAATTATAAAACTTAATGTTCTGTTAACTTGGGGATTTCACTTTAATAATATAACATCAGCAGTGGCTCAAATATTAGTATTTATTACTTTTGAATTATGGCCAAAATGTCATGTCTGCATAAAAAGAAGAAGAGGTGGTGCAGAGGGAGGATTGGTGATACAGCTTTGCCATGAGAGTCTGTCAAGAAAAAAAAATCAAACAACTTAAATATGAGAAATATATTCAATGTTTAGGTTCATTATTGCTTGCAGAGAAAACCAGTACCTCAATAATGGTTAAACAACCCTATAGCAATACTAATTAAACGGCACATTTCTAATTTATACCTGCAATAAGAACAAATGATCATTAGTAGTATTATTAAACCTAACTTAAATCCTTTTATGACAATACCTATACTTTATATATGATCATATTGGGTTGGAGTTGGACCAAAATATAGAAAGGAACTTGGGAGTAACAAGGCAAGTTGAACATTTTAAGGAATACAATTCCAAACCTTCAATAAGAACACTGAAGACACAGATCAGACAGATAAACAGAGGCATGAAATGGGCAAAGTATAATCAGTTGAGATTATAGAGTGAAGGTAACCAGAGAACTTGGACAGCTGTGTATGAAACCAACACTAAGAAGTAATTAGAAACACAGAAGGCAACTGAATAAGGCAAGACCTGACAAGAAAATGCAAGATGAAAACACGTTTGAAAACCAAAACTGAAACACCAGCAACAGGTCTAAGGTCATCTTTTATTTATGTTATATTTATGCATCTGAAAAATGCTTTTATCCAAATCAACAGGAGCAGTAACTTCAAGGCTAGCAATAATGTACCCATAAGGAAGAACAATAACATCCAAACTCAATGCAGAAAAACTCCAGGCCAGGATATGAAACTGGAATCTTCTTGCTTTAAGGCATCAGAGCTAAAAACCGTACCATTGCACAGCCTGTGTTTTATCACACTTCTTGAAAAGAGACATGATTCATGCCAAAGCCAGCTCGACAGGAGATATGACTCAAAGGGGATTTAAACTGGGATTTAATTTGGGATTCGTCCAATGAACTTTTTTTTTTTTTTTTTTTTAACCAGCTTGGTTGTCAGTTTGTCAACATTTTTAACCTGTGGTTGCTGGCAACCCAATACAAAAATTGACAATATCTGTTTTGCTAAACCTTCACTTTTCTTTTTTAATCTTTATTAATTAATTTGATAAGAACTACACAGACACTTATGTATTTCAAAAGCTTTTTCTGTTGGTTTTATTGATTAACCTGCACGGCTAATAAAAAGTGCCAGATTTTAGATGCATTTCCAGTAAACTAAATCAACATCAATATTTACTAAGCAAAAATCTGTCTGTATTACTAACACATTCCTCTTGCAAATGTACTAAGGTTTTCATTCATTCTTTTGCCAATAAAAATAATAGTGGCTGCAGATAGTGCATTTGTGTCCAACTCTAAACAAAATACTAAATACATGCTTTACCCTTTATGTCTTCTATGCAAATATTTAAGTAATATAAAGGCAACAATTCAACGTTTTTTTTTTATGTCTCTTTAACTGTAATTCTTAGAAAAATACTTTTTAAAACAAAAAGAAAACCAACTTTTTAAAACAGTTGAGCTGGGTTGCTCAACTGTACAATTATCATGTAAAATTATCTGTATCCATGTTTCAGAAATGGAGTCAGAGAAGGCAGCATTTTATCCCTAAGTTGTTTAATTTTTATTTGAATATTATTGAATATTATTTCTAGTCCTAGCTCTACTGGTCCCAAGCAGCCTTATTAATTATTTTTAGGTGTATAGTACATAACATGATGGTAAAATTCACAGATAAAAAAGTACCCTTTCTGATCTAAAGGGGACAAAAATAGGCTTTCCCTAACTTTAACTTGTCATGAATTGTATGTCTCAAATGAAATTAGATCCCTTCATCATGTCTTGAAGGATGAGAGGATAAGATTTACTGTCAGTGCTGAATGTTATATACACAAGCTAATATCCGAAAATTTGCTGAAGTTGACTGAACTTGTTTAAAATATATTGTACCTCTCTGTATACAGCATTATAGTCAGTGGCTAATAGTGATGGTGTCAGCTCATTAATGGCTGTTTTGAGCAAGTTTATTTTTTGACTGAATGAATGGGATAATAGGTTCAATATGTTACTGACTAACACTGATCACACTATGTTTCTGTGCTTTAAAACACTGGAAGAGCTGCTCACTAAAAGATTAGAGGTCTTACTGTTTCCTTTTTGTGCTTTTTTTATTTTTATTTTATCATGTATTTTTGGTTTGTTTTTGTACATTTTTGTTATATGCACTTCATCTTAGCAATAAAATAAATAAATAAAATACTAAATAAAATTAAATATATATATATATATATGTTTAAAACGTTTTTGATATGTTTAAAACTAATTTCAAAGATAATGGAAACTTACCTTGTAGTTATTCAACACTTCTTTTCCCTCTGTAAGTCACTGCAGGTGAAAAGATTGAATATATTTTAGAAATAATTACCTTTGTTTAATATTTTATAGGTAGCTTGAACCTAAAAGTGCCTCCTTGGTGGTAGGTAATACATGAACAAACTCACCTTTGCCAATGTTGCTCCCTGAACAAGTGACTGTAAGAAAAGAAGCAGATACATTCAGTTTCTCCTATAGTTTGTTTAAACTAGAGGCCCATTGATTATTATTATATAGCAAAACAATATCTGAAACAATGAGTAAAGCTTTGTGAAGTGTTGTCAAACCTGAATAGTGTCTCAAAGGGCAGAAAGGAACTTTGCTGCCCTCTGCTGTGAGCGGAGTCACTACTAGATTATACACGTGCCCACATTGGATGTTTTCAACATCACAGCTGTTCTCCCCAGGTGATGCTGTGCAGGTATAGTTGCTGCTGCTGCCTGTGATTGTTGCCATGGTGCTGAGGCTGCTGGCTGTGCTGCTGTGCCAGGAAACACGCAGAGAGTTGCTGGCCAACAGGCGGAGTTTGATGCCTGATGGGCAGCAGGGGCCTGAGAGAGAAATACTCTGACTGAATAGGTTTTACTTTATCAAGGAACCCTACAATAAATCTTGTTGATGAAAAGTAGGTTTTACACTTGTATACAGTAGTTAGAATGGTAAAAACTAAATAAAGGTACATTTTTACCAAGATATTTCATGTTTTAAACTTGTGATATTCTATCTTTTTTCCCTAAAGTTTCAGCAGCTTAAAGGTGGCACCTATCATCATTTTTTAAGGAGTTTAAACTTTTTGTAATCATAAAATCTATTTCACAACTAAAACTTTCACCAAGAAAATTTACCTATCAAGTTAGTTACAGAAGCAATTCAAAAAGATGCACATTTAATGGTAATTTAGATTTTAAAGACAAATACATAGAGTTCAACATAACACAAAAAAAGTTTCTGGTTTGACTTTTTTTTTTCAGAAAAAGAAATTTTATTAGTTAAAATAGAGAAAAATAACTATTAAATATAAAAGTAGCTAAGATCTTCCACGTTTCTGAATGATGACTTACTGGAGGAAAATCCTTGGTAGGTGCAGTTGGACAAGTGTCCGCTCATGCTAAACACCTCCATAGTGACGGTGTAGTTTGTGCCACAGGTGATGCATCCCATGAGGCAATGGGAGTCTTGGGTATGGCAGCGGGCATGTCCATGTGGTGATGTCAGGGAAGTGATGAAAGACTGCGCCCCTTTGGCGTGAGACCATGAGACGTTTGACATGGCTTGAGTTACCTGATCGACCGTCAGATTCACCGGGCAGCAGGGTTCTGCAGGAGATGTAGGGATGCGACATTTTAGAGGAGAGACAGCCTCACTTAAACAACAAATATCCTTAATAAGGTCATTGATAGGTTGCAGAGATTCAAGTTCTGGTGGGGGGTCTCTCTGCACGCTGTTAGCTTGTTCTCAATCTGTAGGAATCTGTCTCCCAAAGTTGTCCTCTGTAATGAGCATTTGCATGTGTGGCTTATAATTGTTTATTCTTTTTTTGTGTGTGTGTCTCTATTGCCCTGTGTGTACTATCCACTTCCCCAGAATGCTCCACACTTTTCTGTCTCAACAACCACTGGAGACAGGTATCAGTATCACAACAGCTGTTGCTGTTTGCTCTCTATTACAAAGTCTAGGATTTAAATCTTTGAATGACAGAGTGGGGCATTTCTGTTTCTTGAGATTTTTGCATAAATGCCTTTTTATCTCCTTTCCATCTTGTGCCCTGCAAGGTACTGATGCTACCCTCATATCATGTACGTCACCCCATGATCATTTAATGCTACATAGAAACCACCCCCATGTGGATTTGGCAGGGTTCAGCTTATATGAAAAAAATTGAGTGTCATTAATCCGTCTGTCTTGTTTGTTATCATTTCAATAAAAAAAATGCAGTCCAGCTTTATGAGTTACTCCTATGAATCCCCTAAACAAAAAATTGGTCTAATTTGCATGTTAACAATAACCGTATATTGTGTCGTACAGATAAAGTTTTCAGGAAAAATTCCCTTTGAAATTGTTTTTTCTTCTTCTTCTAGAGGTAAAATTGTATGTTGATTATGAAACGTTTCAAAAGGATTTGACAGTTTCAAAGAAATAGTCCTTCAAAACTTTATTGTGATTTCCCTAACTGTGTAAATGGAAGCTGGGAACATCTTTTGGATGTCTCGAAAAATGTTTAAATCTCAAACAGCAGCACCTTTTCCAATTATTTTGTCATCCTTCAGCAAACTTTGACTTGGACTTAGATTCAACTTTATTTATTCCTTGGGATTACTCCTTCAGGGAAATTCTGGCCAGTAGCTTATATAGAGTACAAAGAGTTAAAGCAAGATGGCATGAAAGATAAAAAATCTCACCGACTATATAAAAAGAGTGTATATAGTACAAAAAAAGCATAAAAATATAAAAAATAAAAAAGACCTGACCTGTTTCCAGTGAGGTGGAGTAGCTGGGTAAGCTCCGCCCAGCGCTGCTGGTTGCTGTGACGCTGAATTCAAACCTCGAGCCACAGGGAAGGTCAGTGATGTCACAGCCGTTTCCACTCGTCGTACAGGTACGCCTGACATCCTCTGCATCTGCACTTACAGTGTAATTTGCTGCCCTGTTGTTTGTTGTCCAGCTTACGCTGATAGTGGAGGAGTTACTTTGATTCAGAATGAGGTTTGTTGGCATGCAGGGAGCTAAAATGAAGAAAGACAAAAAATAGAAATTACTCTTTAGAAGCTCAAAGTATAGGCGAGACAAGCAGAACTCCTGGTAAAAAGCAGCAAGGTCCTGAAAAAGGAAAAATATTCTACCTGTGTCCCTGGTGTGGGATTTACAGGCATGATTACACCCGCTGATTTCATTGCAAGGCTTTACCACCACAGTGTAGGAACTGTCACAGCTGAGGTCAGAGAGGGCGCACACTGGAGCTGTGTCATTACAGAGGATGACCTCTGAGCTGTCAGCCGCCCGAGTCTCGTACAGATCCGCTCCCAGCGATGCAGTCCAGGTAATCTCTAGAGTGTCAGTGCTCACAGCAGAGACAGATACACTGTCTGGGCAGCAGGGTACTGAACACACATACAGTAGGAACAGTTGTCAGTATGAGTGTATTTTCTCATTTAGATGTCACCTCTGCTTATGACTCACCTGTGGTATGGTTGAGAATCCTCCCTTCAGGACTTTTGCCCGCCTGGTTGTACGCCATCACAGACATTAGATAGGTGTAGCCACACTGGCACTGATATGTGCAGTTGTTGCTGGTGGAGTTGCAGGGCGTCTCACTGATATTGCCTTTTCTCACAACGGTCTCATAACCATCCGCATAAGGGACTGTGTTCCACGTCAGCGTGCAGTCTCCTTCTGACGACTCCAAAAGAGTCAGAGACTCTGGGGGGCAAGGGACTGTTGGCAAAGAACTTGGAAGCTTGTCAAAAAGTTCACAAACTAAAGTATTTCTTTGAAACTGCATGCAGACATTAGGTGATAATCAAAACTAGAAGCAGGTTTCCACTCGGTTTTGATGTCTAAACACATATAGCGGGGTTCTTTCAATGCAGAGAAACTGCACTTTCACTTTCACCATCTTCCTCATCCTATTGGTGAATTTTTATTCAATCAGTGGCTGTCTGATGGCAGATGGCCGATCACACTGAGCCTGGTTATGCTGGAGGTTTCTTCCTGTTAAAAGGGAGTTTTTCCTCTCCACTATCGCTACAAGCATGCTTAGTGTGAGGGATATGATTAGACTCAATGAGTCGATGCAATCAACTGGTTTTCCTTAGATAGAAAACTTTTAATCAATTAGACTGTATGATTTAATGAATTGTAAAGTGCCTTGAGATGACATGTGAATTGGTGCTATATGAATAAACTGAATTGAAAATTTAATTGAATTGAACTGTCTATAATTTTAGCAATTAGACACTGGCTGGAATAGAGATTAATTGAAACACTTGATCCAAAGATTTTTTATGGCAAATCTCCCTGATTGATTAAGTTAAATATCATTACTGACTGATGATTGATTAGTTACCCTAACAAATGAAAGGCTTTTGTCAATATTTATTTAGGTCAAGTTGGATGAGAAGCATGTAGTTGCATGTTTTTGAAACTACTTTCTGTATGGGACCCTCATTAGCGGACTAATAGAACCCATAATTTAGATGGGCAGCCTATGAAATAGTCCCACAGATGAATCAATCAGATAAACTGCATCAATCCTCATGGTCTCCTATGAGTCACACATGGTACACCCAGCGATATGTCAATCAATACAGTCACTTTTTAACCAGCTAAACCTGTTAACAATATGTGCCTTTAGGCCAGCATGTTCATTATGTTTCTACTCACAGGTGATAAAAACCACTGGACTGGATGGAAGAGAGGGGCCAGCTTCATTTGAAGCTGTGATCTGGATTGTGTGTACCTCTCCACACCCCACTGGTGACAGTGTGCAAGAGCTGGAGGTGCTGTTGCAGTTTAGGCCCTGGTCACTTGTCACATGATACTCAATAGACCCATCATCATCACCGTTGAGATCCCAGGACACAGAAAGCCCGGTCATGATGTCACTCTTCACCACAAGAACACTAACAGAGGCTGGTAAAGGGTGTCCTGGTAAAAAAAAAAAAGAAAAAAAGAAAAGATGAATCCAGTTAGAATCAAGATAAGAATTAAATAATTGAAAAATTTACCACGGTGATTTGCCTTTTTTATTTTTTTTCCTTCTACTGTAAGGTGTTTAAGTTTAGTGTGTTGTCGCTGATTTCTTATTTAAATAAGAAGATAAAGTTTAAAAAATATGCTAAACTAAGGCAAAAAAATAAATAAATAAAATACTTTTTTAAAACATTCAAAACCACTGCATTGACTTGGCAATCATTTCTTAATATAAAATACATTTTTGGTGATTATTTTAAGACACCCACTCCAACTTTGGGGTGCAATAGCTTATGTACATCCTTTTTTTTTTTTTTTTTTTTTTAATATGTGTATGTACAGAGTTTGACATCTATCTCTTCTTACTTGTAGTCTGGTTGACGTACAAGGATTTCTCTCCCTCTCGGCCCTCGGGGTCCCAAGCTGAGCTCCTGATGAGGTACAGGGATCCTGCATCCAAGCCAGTGAGGCTCAGGCTGCTGTTGGTTGTGTTGTAATGTTCCTGAGTGCTGAAGCCAAACTTATAGATAGACACAGTGTACTGGACAGCATGAGCAACAGGGGGCCAAGTCACAATGATGGTGTCATTACTGGGAGAGGAGGTGACAAGTTGAGGAGGAGGCAGCACTGAGGAGAAGAGGGAAATTTTTTTGAATTACTTTTACAGATGGTGAGAATTAGTTTGTCTGTGGAAAGTCGGGAATCATTTTCACCAATGACAGATTTTGCAGCACAGTGTTTTAAATTTAAAGAATTAAAAAAACGTGTACATAATTGTTTTTCTATGTTCATGTCAAAGCTAAGTCAGCGCTGCTCTGAAGTGCATTACATCAAACTAAACATTTTTTCACATGGCAAAGAATCAGATACTAATAGATGGTCTCTCTGGTTTAAAGTATTTGGATTTTTAGCAAAGGACTTAAAAAGGTTTATACCATTACTTTAATCTTGATGAGATTCGGGGTTTTGTCATCAATGGGATTTTGGCCTCTAACTTATTTATTTGACCTGAGTTATCTGGGCTTAATGATGGTGGCAGCATCATGCTATGGGATCATTTTCTCTTTAATGGCAATGGTCCAAGGGGATGGAATAGAAAAGAAGAAGTACTACCCCATAGTTCTTTATATCATTTTAAAATGTATGGCTAAAAGGTTAAAGCCTTACATTTTATAAATATAAGTTCCACAAGGTGATGCTGTAAAATTAAAACAGTAGAACTCATTGTCGTTAGTTCAAGGGTTTGTATTAATCTTGTTTTTCCCTATGTTAGAAGAAGAAAGGAGCAAAAGTCATGTTCGTGAAACTCAGGATGGGTTCATCTAATTTTCTTTCAAAGATGAGGTCAGATAGAGTTTCCCAGGATATCTGAGAAGGCCCCCAGGGATGTAGACACATTGCCTTATACAGTTTTAACAGGAGATATGATGCTGTGGCTGTGTAGTGTATAATGTGAAAGATCAAGTGACGTCTGTAGGGCAAAAGGGACTGATGAGACACAGTTCTGGACTTTCTAATTCATACAATACTATTGTCTTTGCATAAACCCCCTTTTGGCTAGAATATTCATTTTCATTTGTATTAAATGTCATAGGTTTTAATGATAAACAAACAATAGCTTTGGACTGTAATAAAGGAAATGTTCAAAGAAGAGAGGAAAAACACTACCAGTTTTTGCAGTTACAGGTTTGGGTGGCTGGCTCCGGCCTGGATCTTTTACGGCCATAATGCTGAGCTGGTACTCAGTGTAGGGGTGGAGATTATTGATCTCAGCTGGGGAAGAGGACACTGTGTCCTCTCTGAAGAAGCCATTTGTATTCTCAACTCGTATTATGTAAGAGGTCGTCCCCATTGTTGGGTTAAACTCCAACATCAAGGTCCTGCTGTCCTTTGGCTTGACATTGTTGATAGGCTCCATCATATCGGGTGCTAAAACAGAGATGCAGACACATTTTAGTATAACCTGTCAGTGTTTTCTTTGTTTTTCAATGTACAAAATGCAAAGACAGGACATTTGTAGAGTAACAACTGGGGCACCCTGTGCAGGCCTAATTCTGTTTAAAATCACATTAATTTATTGAAAGTTTCTTGATAAATATTTAGGCTACTTATTTGGTCTTTCCTAGAATGTGTCTCTTTACTACCCTATATCTCTATGTGATTTATACAGAATTTATGTGATATACAAACACACAGTAGTGTATGATTGAAAAATGGAAGCAAAAATTTTAATGACTTCTAAATTAAAACAATTTAGAAGTCATTAAAAATTTTGCTTCCATTTTAATTTTAATTTTAATTGAATAATTTTGACAGACTTCTAAATTAAAACAATTTAGAAGTCTGTCAAAATTATTCAATTATGGGATTGATAGTATAACACACTAGTGGTTTCAAAGTTATATTACAAATTGGAAGCAGCATTTACATATAAATGGGCTAAATTCTGAATATAGAGAGGTCATATGTGGAGTTCCACAAGGATCCGCTTTAGAACCATTGATTCTTATTTTTTTTTTATTAATGATTAATGATCTGTTCCTCAACAAACGAGGTAAATTTTTTGTTGTTTGCTGATAACACCAGAATATGTCAATCAGAAAGAAAGAAAGAAAGAAAGAAAGAAAGAAAGAAAGAAAGAAAGAAAGAAAGAA